GCTGGTTCCTGCTTCATTAAACAGTTCCTCAGTTTGAATATTCTCAATTATTTTGAACTCCTTCCATGACCTTGCCCCTCCCTATCTCTGTAATTTCCTCCAGGTTCACATTCCTCCGAGATATCACTATTCCTTTAATTCTGGGCTCTTGCATTTCCCTGTTTCTGGATATGTTACCATTGGTTGTCAAGCTTTCAGCAGCTGAGTCTTGATTCTCTGGAGTTCCTTCCTGAAGTCTCTCCACCTGTCTTTCCTGCTTCAAATCCACTCCATCACTAAGTTTTGGTTCATCTACTCTAACACCTTTTTGGCTCAGTGTCAAATTTTGTGCAACAGTGTTCCAGTATAAAAAATATATGTATTATTAATTTTCTTTATTTTGGATTGTGGACCAAAATAGGAACAGGATGTTCCTGCAAACCAAGGGCAGTGGATAGATTTGCTGCACATTTAAAAACACGTGGCTGGAACTTATTGTGAGTTATGTTTACACTGTTGCTTTGTTCAAGCAGCGGGGAAAGATATCTAAGATGCTGTGGCATGTGGAAACACATTTCAACCTGTTTTGTAATTTATCAGGGTTAGTAAACTTTAGATCGGTTCTTCCAATCACAGTCTACAATTGTAGTTGTCATAAGTCTTATAATTGGAATTAAAGTGACCCATAAAATCGTACAATGGAGCACAGTTTAAAAACAAAGGGTTTACCATTCGAGACAGAAATAAGGAGGAATTTCTTCTCTCAATTGAGTCTTTGGAATTTTCTTCCCTAGAGACCAGTGAAGTCAGGGTCATTGAAAAACTGCTGTCTAACCTGAAGCTGATTCAACCAATCAAGGAGAACTCCTTCATTACTGGAGTATTTATTGATTTTCACTGTGTGCAGAGACCATTTACATGACTCTAGGAGTGAGACTTGAGCTCATATTTCTCTGAACTAGAAGTGAGATGTTATCAACTGAGCATTTGTGAGTTTTCAATTTTCACCATACTAGTGCTGAGTGTTTTTCATAGCTCACTGCTGACCCTGATGTAACATCTCTTGTCCAATCAGTTCTCAATTGGTCAATGTTAGAGACCCTTTGTAGAATGCCTGAGGCTTCCAAAACACCAATAAGTATTAGCTCTGTCTGGACCTACATCTCTGATACTACTAAGTCCAACACTTAAAGATGCATTCTCCTAGCATTTGATCCTGGTAATGAATATCTCATCAGCATCTTTAACTAGATTTTATTTGTAACAAGAATATTCATTATTGTTAATTTATCTTTCTGGGTGAATGTGTATTACAAATGAGTTCCATTCTGCCTTGAGATGCAATTGAAAGTAAAGGCAACATGTTTATGATGGGATGTTGCTATCAGTGAAAATGCTCAGGAATGTTTCTTTACAAAGGTAAGGCTGGATCTGATAAATGTCCTTTTGTACCTGTCTTGGATCAACAGACAGTGTTTGTCCAAACTTTTGAAAAGATCTATTCAAAGCTAGGAAAGATGAAGGATCAATTTGGGTGCAGACACTGCAACTGGGCTGGAGTTAATGCCAATGGCTGCAGTTTCAGTTTCAGTTGTTTCTCAGTGCAGCTCTAAGGGCCCTGTTTGTGTAGAGTTCGATACAAGCCTGTGCAGAATTGGCTCCTAGAAATTAGAACTGTCAGAGAAAAGAATTCCCACCATCCAAATATTTTGATTAAACTAGGGAAATTTACAAGGGACTAAGAATTCAATGTATCCCGTTGAGCACTTTGCAAATCAGGTCTGACATTAAATTGGATTTATTATGTGAAAGCTACAGCAAGTATCATTGTGTATTCTCAAGAGCCATGTTCTGACTCCAGCTTACGCTGCCATTTGAATCATTGGTATGAAGAAGGAGGATCCTTTCTCTGATCAACTTGCTTCAATTAAAGGAGCAGCAAGGATGAATGGACCAGGAGGTCTGAATGGAGAAAATAAAAGAGGTAAGAAATTAGATAGAAAATAAACATTTTCCTCACTTTCCCTTTGTTTCCTGAGACCTTCTGTCAGTTTCTGCATAGTCTGGGCTCCACAAATACTATGTCTCCATGCAGCCATGAGTAATCCTCGGCATGAATCTGTTCAGTGGTTTGTGCCAGTGGGGAAGTTGAACATAACGAAATCCAATACTGTCCTCGGCAACATCTTCCACAGGCCTGGCTGCTTGGTCATTGGAGCTGCACTCTGGGTGATTTTTAAGGCCAGAGCTGTTATGGCCCATTCATGCTAAGGTCAGTGATCTCTCCAGAGGTAGATCCAAACACGGGCAGGCAGTTATCATCATTGAAAACAAAAAAAAGCGCAAATATCCTGAAGAAGAGTAACAGAGGATTTGAAACGTTACCTCTGTTTCTCTCCCCACAGATGCTACCAGACTTGCTAAGTTTCTCCAGAACTCTCTGTGTTTGTTTTGGTAATTTTTGCTGACTGAACAGAATTGAGTCACACCTGGGGAGCAGCTGGTGCTACAGCTCTTCAGCAGATCCCATGCTGGTCACCTTTGAATGGATCCCCTCATTTTAGTGTCTCAGGGGTCACACACTCTGTCTGCACACAGTAAGCAGCTTTCATCATTCCTGGAATGGTTGGTGAGATAGTGTTGGTCAGATTGTGGGTTTCATTCTCCTGCTGGTCACAGACAGTGCCGGTTCTTGGTCTTGCCTTTCCTGAGCTGTACGTGTTTCTTGTTGGTTTGATTTTCAGATTGCTATTCCCAGTGGAAAGAGTTCCTCCAGCACTCCCTAACCTTGATCCTCAGCCCTTTTCACTGTTGCTCTCTATCGAAAAGGAGTTTGATGTCTTGTCCACTCAAACCTTGAGGGTTCCACTCTCTAGGGGAATACTGGGCTTTGTGCTGCTCACAATGATTATTCTACCTATGGTCTGCTTCATATATATTCCCAATCCCTAAATGCAGCCATCAGTCCCAAACTTCTTTACAAATCACCTGCTCCATTTCTTCCCAATGCCTTCCTGACCTGCAGCAAAAACTTGGAAACTCTCTGAAACCCTCTCATCTGCCCAGTAACAGCATAGACTTCTCCCTCAAATACAGGATAGATCTTACTGCCACCACCACCACTCAGTGCAAGCAAGACCATCGCAACCAATCCAAAACTATCCAATAAAGGTCAATCCAATCCACACCAGATTAGCTCAACCCAATCTAAACTAACCCAACACAAACCAGCACATCCTAACCCAAATCAACCCAA